TTCAAAGATTCCCGTTTCCGGGCACGCAAAGGCAAGAAACCGATCTGGCTTTGTAAACCCCGAAGCCAAAGGTTTTTCTGTGATCGGAAAATCCATGGATAAGTCAGCTTGGCACACTTCTAGAAACAAACAGAAAAGAGATAGATTTACTTTTCACCTTCCGGTAGGAGGGTTCTCGCTCGATAAGGGATGATTAATCGATAGCGTGAATTATACAGGCTCTCTCAAAATTTTGTAACGCCTCCGTTCCCGGGAACTTTTCCTGGAACGAAGGAGAAAAATGAACATAGCGAGACGAGAGGCAAGAAGTTAAATATCGCATTCCCTCGAACGTCGCGTTTAGAATATAAAACAGGTCGACGGAACGACGGGAAAGTAAAGTAGATGATAAATGTAAGTGGAAACGAATTGCCCGGAAAGTTGTCTCTTACGACCACCACGTACGGCCATAAACTTTGTAACCACGTATGTGGATCGAAGGGATCTCTTTTGAAACGAAAGGTAAAAGTTGGAGAAAATTCGCCCGAGTTTTACTTTGTTCCTTCGTATCATTATAGGATACGTAAGGGAATTTCGGAGACTTTTAGGTTTTTATACAATTTCTTTAACCCTTTCGTTGTTATCAGTGCATACAGTGGGTTCAAAGAGTATTTGTACACCATTTAAAATTGGACCAAATGACTTGAGGTTTCTCGAGAAGCTATACAAATTAATTTACCGAGATATTTGCTTTTGTCGTTTTAAAAAATTACAATTTTTTGAAATCGTGCAGGAAACAGGACAGAGCGAATGCTGTTGTCCTTTTGGAGGGAAAAGAATCGATTTAGGTGATTGAAACTTTTACCGATCGTATAGATTCTGCGGGTGGCTATTGGTACGTGTTGATTCGTACAATTTCACGAACTTTTCTATACGATACATGGGTTTAAACGGTGGGGTTCATGCATACTGCATAAGCTGTGAACGATTTACAGAGGCTACAGTGACGTCAACGGGGTTACACCTACGCCAGTTCACCCTGATAGGTGATGCTCGTTCGGAATCCGAACAACGGGTTAGGGAAACGATCCTTGACTCGAAAGGTAGTTTTCGAAAGGTTAATTAACCTGCTCATTTACGTTCTCTTCGAACGAGATTAGCTTCTAAGAATAGAGAAACGTACGGCAACAAGTTCGCTTTTCGTGATACCAACACCATACTTTGTTTAATTACGCTGTTCATCAGCCATTTAAACTTTTAACTTGAGATGATAAAAAATGCTCGTCGCATGTGTGGGTGATTAAATTATTAGATCCATGGTATGGAAAATGGGTTCTTCGTGTTTGTGTAGAAATAGAGCCACAATTTTAAGGTTTTTACATTGTGTAACTTTTAATTAATAATTCTCCACTATTAATATAAATTAATGATATTTATGTAAAGTCATCAATTCATGCGAATGGTTCTAATAATTTGATCACCCACTGTAAATTCAAATTTTCAATCTCCCGGTTATAATAAGCTTAAACGTATAGTACTAGGTATAACAAGAATTTTCAAGAAACTACGAGCTCGCAAAACACGCTTCTCTTCTTTGTAATTTTTCTTTTATGAAAGTAATAATTTCCTGAAGTAACTCCCTTAAGCTTCGTAAGGCTCTTTATACTATAGTTTCCGTTAATAATTTAGTTCGTGCGAAAGGTTGAACGAATAGATGAATCTTTCAACTCGATAAATCGTGACGCATCCTTCTGTCTCCGTGATTCATACCTCTCACCTGAGCAAGCTTTATTTTCGATACATTTCCGTCCATAAAACGTACTCGTTTCCTTTACATCATCTCCTTTCGCCAGCTTTACCCGAAACATTTTAGATAAAACGTTGCATTATTCATCCACTATTCACCCCTGAGTCATACCGATAAAACTTTGTACTCCCTGCGTTGTTAAATATCGTTATCCGGCTCCTTCTTTCTTCGTTTATCTCGAAAATTCGTACAACTCACTGCACCGACAACTTCGACGTTAGAGAAAGAGTTACGTTGGATTCGTAACGAAATTTAATTTCGAACTGTTGACACTTTTGCTACAGACAGAATCTAATTTCAAGTTTTTCGCCTCGATTCTACAAACCCTTTTTCCACTGTCCTTCTTTCTAAATAGATCTTACCCGTTTGCTAACATTTTCAAATACATACACGACCGTACAATCAATAGCGATGTGATCAGATTTTAGATTTATTCGCCTATAGGGGCATCACTGATTCCAACCTTATCTCTAATTCAATATGAACGAAGTACCTTCAGCAAGGTCATAATCCATTTTTAATAAGATAGACTGAGAGGATTACGATGTTTTTAAAAAGTTTTTCCAGTTTCTTTTTAATCGCAAGTCTGACCTTATTTCTGTAAATTTTGCTGCTTTAATGTTCCTTTCAACGATGAAACTTTCCGGCATGCGGCTTTAGAATGGCAAAGAAATAATGCTGAGAATGCGTTAAGTTCTGGAGCGTAGGAGGTATCTAGGTAATTCGATCGAAGTTGCATGCTGGTTGTGGTAGAAATCTGCGACCGTGTAATTTCTCATACGTACGTCACGATAATTTTCGAAATACATAGTTGGCAGAGTAGAAAGAGCGTACGCAGATGGTTGGAACAAGGCTAGTTACTTAATGCACTCTGTTACGCCGCGTAACCCGTTGAAACTTGGTTGTTGCTTCACCTTACGCGTACGCGAAACCATTCCGACACCTGTATTAACAATGTAATTACCGTTCCATCTAGCTTAGCGTGCTTTTCTTCGCGACGTTCGAAACTTTAGCTAGAAACATGGAAACGCGATGCTTCTTGCAATGTTAATTACTTAACCCTTTCACACCGGACGGGACATATGCTGTTCCAGTCTGGAAAATTTGATGTCCCATCAATGAAGCTTGTAACATGGTGCGTCGTTATGGGGTCGTTTATGCGTTTCTAAGGCAGAAAAGTTATTTCATTTTAATAATAATCACCTGGAGGAAAAATAATTTTTTCGCCGTATTGAAAGGGTTAAAGCTGTTCCTATCGTTCGTCAGTGAAATTTTAAACCTCTCATTTGCCATTGAACGTACACATGAAATCATCTTGTATACAGGTGTAGCAGGACGTCGACCTCGTGAGAGGTTGTCTCGAAAATTTCTCGTTTGTATGCGTTCCTTTTATCAGGCGACGAGGAAGAATTTATTTTGTCTCAAGACGCGGCTCGTCCTTAATGAACGGGATCGTGTAAAATGTCTGCTACAAAATGTCTGCTTCCTGACTGAAATAAATGTGTTCTGCAACGTCGGTAAAGTTAACGAAATTAATTGTTGTATCGTCTAAGATTCGGTAAGAAACGGTATAGCCTGTTGCTAGGCTGATTTGCTCCATCATTTTTTATCTTCTCAAACGTTTCTGCAGGGTACGTGCGATTAATTAACGTTATCTCGAACCGTAAATATAAAATACTGCCCCATTTTTAGCTTATTCGCCGCGGGTCGAGTATCTTGTTCTCTGAAACGTTGAAAATCAATACTCGAAAACACTGTGATATTTAAATATTATTTCAACGGATCGGCCGACAGTCGCAGAATGTGCATTCATTTTCTGCAACGAAAAAATACAGTATCTCTATCTGAACTTTATGTGCAAATACTCTAAGCAAACAGATGCGTTTCATCCTGAAGTATACTTTCAGTAAGATTTATAACTTTGAAACTCTGAGCTGTTTGCGCTTTGCTCGGAAATAATTTTAATAAACTTTAATACAGCTTGTTTACGAATATTTTGAATAAATTTGATAACTTTTTCGAGGTCTGAGGAAGAGCTTCATCTTAATATTCGTGGTAAGACTGGTCATTAGCGATGGAATCGAGTAATCTGTGTGGAAGATAAATTTTCAATGAAAACAAACGGACGGAACGAGATTTAACGAGATATTTCTCATCGAAACGAGACAGGTGGAGGAGCTAACATCTTGTTGTTTGCTCTCCCGTGTTTCCTGGGAGTACTACCTGAGCCAAAAGGAAAATGTAAACTCGAGCGAAGCACGGATATAACGGAGATCATTACAGTTCTGAAGTGACTTAAGGGATTTTGGCAGGTGGAATTTCATGGGCGGAAATTTGACGAGATACGTAACCTAAGACCCGTCCTCCTATCCTTTGAAATTCAAATCATAGAACGCGAAGTATGTACGCATTCCTCTCCTACGATTCAATTTGTTTACGTTTTACTTCTTCCGATAAATTCCTCCTCGAGAAGATTATGCTCGTTAACGTTCAGAATGAAGCGGAAGTAAGCTGGTTATGAAATCAATCGTTATTTTTATTTTAACGATTAAAGACATCTCGTAAAACGAATCCTTAGCTGGTGTATATTCAAGTATCACGAGGTCGTTTCATAAGAATGGCCCCCGACTTCTCGAGAAATGTGAGCAAGGTTTTGTTTGCCACATAATTTTGCAATTAACCTGGTTTCTGGGAATAAAAGAGAAGATTGTTTAGAGTGAACGTAATGAACCTCAAAGCATCTCCATTGCATTTTCAGTACACGTTGTCGTTGATTAATTATTGCCTGATTGCGATTGTCTTTGCTAGAAGAAAATAGAATGTTCATTTAATAAATTATTATAAGTGTCAAGAAAGTCAGGAGAAATATTATGGTAACCTATATTTTCTGCAAGATATCTAGAATTGAAATTGATTTGGCATCGGTATACCTTAGTTAAGACTCTGAAAACAATCCCGTTTCATATTGACTCGATAGATTAATTTACATTACTCTAGCAACCTGACGAACATTTAAAGACTGGACACGAACGGAGCGTTTTAATTTCTTAATATCCTTTTTCCAATATTTCAATTATATTCTTCGGAGATTCTCATTTTCTAGATTAATCTTCTGGTAAATTACTAACACATCGAAATTCCTTTTTCAGCTGGTTTATTGTAACCCTTTTATCCAATATTTTAATTACATTTCGTCGAACAGGCTTCTCGTTAATTACGAACACATCAATTTTACTTAAAATGTAGGTCTTTTTCTAAAATTAATTTACATTATCTTCGAGCTACTTAATATACTATTATACAATTAACTATACATTCTTCAGAAATTCTCATTACATTTCGTTCTCATTTCCTAATCGTCATACTTAATATTAAAATACATTTACATAATTTTACAATTGCATCAGAAACACACGCTAAACATACATGCTAATGACATACGAGACGTTATAACTATCTACAGAACTACTCTCCTCGTCATACTCGTAATCAAACTGAAGAGAAACTTCCTGCACTTCGGTGTCCTCGTTACTTTCATCATTTTCATCGCGATTCTCATCAACATCCACCCTCAACCCTGTACAAGGAAAATCATTCAAACTACTGAACTCTGCAACATCGTTGAAAGAACACGTAAGATCCTCGTTATGTAAATCGTCGCTCGATTTCGATACCCCGAATCTATTTCTCCTCCAGCAATTTTCTTCGATCAGTCTCGGCCACTCGTTTCCCTGGATGAAATTTTTCACCTGCTCGAACTCGTTCGAATTACATTTTCCAGAACCGTCGGTCACCTCGCCTGCCAAACGTTCGGCAGATTTTAATGGAAATTTCATGTAACTTGAAACGCGATTCTCAGGATTATTCAAAACGCTTCTGGAAAAAATTTTCCCCGGAACTTCACCGAAACACTTTCCCTCTTCGCAGTTACACGTATATTTGTCGCAGCTTTTCACGCAGTCGAAAGAGCAATCGAATTTTAAATCTCTTAATTTGTCTGCTACATCTGTTTCGTCGGTAGAAGAATAATTTCCGGTCACGCAGATAGCAGAATCAGAGAAAAACGATTTATCGTCCGCACACGGTGAAATTTCCGCCGAGGAGTTTCCCGAATCCTCGAATGAAATTAACGTCGGTTTTCTTCGTACAATCACTCTGTTACTTTTCACTTCTGATGAAACTTCTGTGCGATCTTCAATTTTGATCAGCGCCGAAGGGGTAGTCAAAGGATTTTCTTCGTTAACAATGACTTCCCAGTTTGAATGGGAAATTTGCTGTTTCTTCTTGTCGCAATTATCCGATGACTTCTTCTTTAACGATACTTCCTTCTCTTTTACGATGGAAACTTTCTCGTTCAAGTTTCCATCAACGATGAACTTTGTTTCTTCCTCGTTGACGAAGCTATCCTCGATCTTGTCCATAGAATCGTTTATTAAATTATCCATCGATTGATTCTTCTTTTTGTTTACGGAAACGTCTTTCGTCTTCCTTTGAAACTTTGAAATCAGTCTTCTGGAGATTTGTTTTGTCTTCTTGGAGATTTGGAAGGATTTCTTGGCGAAAGATTCCTTGAAATCATAATTCAGCGAAGTTTCAAGGGCGGTCGTCGAAGAAAAAGATACAGTTGATACTCCTTTTTTGATGATGAAGGAGATTCGATGGTGTTTGGGGAGGTGTTGACGAATTTTCTTCGAGGATGAACGTTTTATCCACTGGAACATGGTGTATGCTCGAAAAGGAATTCCGACGAGTTTGAAATATAGAAAAATACGAGAGAAGAATTACTCAGGTATACCGAGCGGTTGTCTAATTAATTCTGAAGGGGTTGCGAAAGCGGAAGGCGTTTTAAAGCCCACAGTGGCGTAGAGTTGGAGGGGTGGGAGAACTTTTACGACACCCTTCCTTGGCCCAAATTTTTGGAAGATTCAATGTTTCGAATATTCTTGTAAGGCAGGAATTATGATAAATATATGAGCAAAAATTTCTTACCAGCGCAGTTTTATTAAAATGAATAAGAAATGAATCTTGGTGCGTTCCTTTGGTGAGATACCAGGTCCAATGACCCAGTAGACATTGTCCAGAGCGGTTCTTTCGGAATCGATGCGTTTGGCGCCGAGACGACCCGTTTCCTTCCATACGAGGCTCCTTTATTTTCATTCTATTCCACCCACGCAGCTGCTTCCACGGATATAAGCCGAAAGTGGGTCAAAGATCATCGCGAACTCGCACACATTCTTCTTTAATTTTGCACCAGTGATTTAAGCACGGATCGACAAACATTTGTCCTTTCAACCCTTTCACTGTGCGAGATTTAAACACAATTTGTAACCAAGAGTTTGTTTTCGAAACGCTCAGCATAGAGTGTTAAATGAAATTGTTTATCACGACGAAAGCTTGTACGGCTGACAGTGAGAGTGAAAAATAAAATAAAATAAAATGCCCAATCTAGCCTAGGTTTTCCGACAATTTCTATTGTTCAATTTCAACTGGCCGTATAGCAATAAATGTTGCACCTCGCTCGTTTCTGATCCGTTCGCTTTATGGTTCACTAGAGGGGTATTTTCCGGCCAGGGGATCAAACCGTTCAAGTAATCTTATTGTTCCATTATGCTGTTCGTCGAAGCGATTCCGGGTAGGATTAATTTCTGTTTCCCACTAAATGAGTACAGTTATAAGCAAGGACTATCGAGAGCTATTACCGTCCCTCATGGGTATTTCTAGTAATTTCGGTAGGCATTCATCATGCGGGCTGGCTTAAGTGGCCCAGGAAAAACGTTCGACCCTCAATCTCCCTAAACGTTCAATAAATTATGCGACCGGATGTATCTCATACGATTTTATTAACGAAGTCAGCATAATTAATGTTCCTTTCGTTTTATTCCAAGCAGAAATTTAACCGCACGGTCCGAGAAATTGTAGAGATAAAATCTGCTCGCATCCCTCTCGATCAGGGGTTAACGAAACGATACGAGGCATCGATTGCCTGGAACTAATTCGCGTGAAATCGGTAGAAACGTTAACGGGCCGTATAAAAAGCGTAAATCTCATCGCCCTTCGAATACGTGACGCGGATACCTTCATGGTATCGCATTCGGAAAGTTGATTATTACCCTATAAAAGCTTAGTCTGCTTCATTCGAGCTCGTTTTCTCTCGTAAAGTATGAATGACTGATTTTAAGAACGGAACGATAGAAAAGTTGGCGGTCGTAATTTCTATGATTAGGGTTATTTCGCGGTGCTTTTTACGTTTCGTACTCATCGTCAGCCAGTGAATAAGCATGAACCTGATTGCAGGAGTTACGGGTAAATTGGTTCGAAGGAAGTTTCAAGAAATTCGTCGAAGTAGACGGAATTAAGTGACACGAGAGTTCGTAACAGTTTCTGTTAGTGATTACCATGTAACTGGCTCTGATTGATACGGATAATCATGACTTAAGCAGACAGTGTTCCAATTACGTAATCCTCTTTCAGCGGCATTTATTTGCAGTTAAATTTCTGACGTAAACAGATCGGCTGGATAAATAGTGAAATCAGGAAGAACAACTTTGTTGTTCGTTCTTGCGATTCAATTCTGCTAACGATTACCCAATCGTCGTTTCTTCGCCGTAACAAAGGCAATGAATCTGTGGAAATCTATGGTTACATACCGAATATTTTCCTGCGAGACATTTAGCGAAACTGATTGGTGGAATTAATTCTGGAGACTTTGAATAAAAATATTTTTTATTTCATATTTGTGCAGAAAATGTATATTCTTTTTTGTAATCTATAATATTTATACTTAATATTTTCACATAATTTGGTTTGTAAATGTTTAAAAATTTTTATTTAAAATTTAATCTGTGTTGTCATTTTTGTTTGTCATTTTGTTCGACGTCCTAAAGTTAGAAACCAATGATTAGAATATAAAATATAAATGATTATATATTAAAGTCCAGAATTAATTCCACTAGTGCATACCTGAATTGAACAATGAAGCAATTTCTAGGAATCGTGGCAGGTATGCGAGGTACTATGTGCGATTTGAAGGGGGACGAAGCTAACAAGTAGCCTTTGTCACGCAACGGGTGCGACAATAAACGCAGATTAACGGAACGTGTCGAACCTTTTATCCTGACTCAGCTGGTGTAATTATCTTAATCGTAAAACAGGGGAGAAACCTTGTCGTTTCAAATTCTCTGTTTTTCCTCTTATTGTTCTGCTTGCAATACAGGCTGTTCGCAAATAAAATGACCGATCCACTGGTTTAATTTCTTCATCTTACAAAATTTAATTTGGTCAAACGATCAGTGCAAGCGCGATATTCGATTAGAATTATTTTACAGGAAAATCGTAGAAACGTTTCAACAGGTAAAAGAGAGATGCGCGTAGTAGAGTGCAAGTGAAAGATAGAAATAGTGTAATCTTTCTCGTGACCAGCAAACCGATCCTCCGTTTCTCTTTTTTCCCATCGATATTTAATCCAACGATAAATTCTATTTCTCGATTCGAACTCGTCCGTGTGCAATGGAATATCACGGCGAGACAAGATTCTTGAACATCGATGTCTGTTAAACGATACAACGTTTAATATTTTTATTCTTTTGTACAGAAGAATCCAACGTATTTCCGTTTTATCGCCCTATTGGATTTCTGATATTTACTTCTAACAAAGAGAAATTAAAATCTTGATCAGAATTTTTTCATTAATTCGGTGTCTCTAGTATTACGCCTTCTTAATTAATATTTTTAATTTCAAAATTTTCTCGCGGTTTTGAACATTTGAAAAGTGACAAGACAACATAATAACAATAAAGATTATTTCAATAATTGGAATTACTATAGCTTTTTAAAAATAAATTAAAAAATTTAATTAAATTAAAAAAAAGGCACCGAATTAATTTGTATATCTAATATATAACCGAATTACACAGAAGTGGTGGAGAATTCTTCTTGTTTACTACTGCGTGGCGCTCAGCGTTTACTCGTATCACTTGCAGAGCAATATTTCACGGAACGCAATTAACCCTTTAACTGCGGATACCTTTCGCACAGGCGATTGCTGTAATTTTAAATTATATTACTGAAGTGATATTCTATTTTAAAAAATTTTATTGCATTTATTTTATTTTTATTTTAGTGGTATATAAGACACAGCTGCTATTTGATATTAGTAAAAATTAACATATTGTTTATATACCACACCGGCCTCTGGCTATAATTTTAGCATTTGGTTTATGAACCACACCCGCAGTTAAAGGGTTAATATTGAAGAATTTGATTAATTTTCACAAAGGTAACCGGGTGTCGCGTTATAATCCTCCACTCAGGTATCTCGGCATCCTTTTGGTTTTTTGAGTATTCAGAGAACGACGAAGAAAATTGGTTCTAATTACAGTCGTTTCACGTTCCTTCCTGCAATTTCACGGTTTCCCTCGACCCCATGAATAGCGTAGTTTTTAGGAATGGATTGTCACAGACGTTCGTACTGCATTAATTACCTGACGACTACCCAGAAGAAGAAAGTCTAATTTATTAAACGGTGTCGGTTCTGTCTCGTGTTCTACACAATTGTCAAATGTTTCAGGAAAACTATTCCTTCGTGTTTCCGATACGATTCAATTACAATGGTCGATTTAGATTAAATTCTGAAACTATCGCGTTTAACAATCCATCAAATATTTTAAACTTCCTAAGAATTCCCAGAATGTCCGAGCTCGAACAAGGGTTTGAATTGTTTGCAAATTTAAGTGAAGTGGTATAATATAACCATCGCTATAAATACCGTATCGATACCGTACAGTTCGTCGATCGATTTCAGTGCTAGGTAGACGGATTATTCTTCCCTTGCGAGAACAATACATCGTTCAGCTGGAAGGTCTTCGAAAAAGGATAAATATTGTTTTATTGTGTGTCGTCGTCGCGGTGGTCGTTGTCGAGGCTCGTTCCAGGTAAAGTTGTAAGTAGAAATTGACTGAAACTTCGATTTCCTAGAAATACACAATGGCCAGTCGAGTTCTATCGAAACTAGAGAATATTTGCATTTGTAAAGCAAATTTGCATGCTGCCTTTGTTCAAATGAAAATTCGTATCGACAAACATAACCGTGTTAGATCTTTTGCATTGATTTTGTCGAACAATATTTTCGTCTTCATTTTCACGCTTACAAACATTTCATATTTTATTGATTCTTTTTTTTTCAAAAATCGAAGAATCATAAGTATGAAATACAAATTTTATTCTTAAATTATTATGCACAAAATTATTCAAATTTAATGAATGATACAGAAGGGTAGACAGCATGACCTACCCCCTCTTCGCTCGAAATTTCGAAGACACCTAATGGAAGGGGTGGCGTACGTGCCCCTCGATCCTCCGCCAGGTACAAAAAGACCCAGTAATACCTGCGGCCCTCATTTAATAGTAAAATTTCAAGGTGTCAACTTCAGTCAGTATCATAGACTCGAGTGGAAAAAAGTTCTCAGCGTATAGACTTCAATTTGTGAATTAAAGAAAGGGTTGTGATAAAATGTGAATTGCATGCTAACGAGTTTGAAGTCGTTTTAAATTTAATTCTAATTGTCTGGATTAATTCGCGAATACAAGAACTTGTTGACTCGTCGAAATAATCGGTTTAAAAATGAACGCGTTTCTTCAGCGTATGTTGAAGAAGAACAGCAACGAAGAGGTTTGTTGCTCGATCTTCTTTTACCTAGTTGCTCCTGAAAATTGTTGTTAATCTTTCCATTAATTCTCTTAACGCGTCTTTTGGTTTGCATTTTCACGTTTCAGCTGAACGTGCAGAAGGAGAAGGAAAAAGTGGAAGAAGAGAAGAAGAACGAGAGCGGAAGGTCAGGTTCGTCGAAAGGAAACTGGATCAGGAAACTCGGGAATTATTCACCGAGCAAGTACCAAGCTCCATCCGGTCCCACGAGGACAAATACTATGAGACCTTTGGACAGTCTGTGCAACAGCTACGAACAAATATCCCCTGCGAAAACTTTAGACTCCCCGAATCCTCCTGCCGAGATGCCAGACCTGGAAAGTATTATTCGTGAATTCGAAACGGGCTTTCTTTCGCCTACCAAGTCGCCGGACACTAGCATGGAGTTGTACAAGCAGAAGAACTTTGTCAAGAAGATCGTAGCAGCGTTCGAGGTGAAATACAAAAGTTACAGCGACCTGAAAGCAGCCCAAGAAGCGAACGAACACCACGAGGACTGTTGCGCGAGGGTAGAAACGCCAAGAAGAAGAACAAACATCATCAATAACGAATTCAAGAGCAACTATGAAGAATCAAAGCAACGTCAAGATGCTGAAGACTCGGGGGAAGTGAAGAATTCAAGAAGATCCGGGATTTTTGGCTCTCCCTTCAAGGTCTCCGTCGAGGAGATCAAAGTTCCTGAATCTAACAAATCTCCTCGAGATGGGATATCCAAGGATCGGGGTGAAAAGTTGAAGAACCGTAAGAAGTCTCTTTTCGGTAGTTCCAGAGATTCTAGTAGCTCGTCGGAAATTTATTCGCATCCCGTGGACGTTGATTGTCAGGAATCGAGAGATTCCAGTTCGGACAGTTCCTTTGTCTTCAAGTTTGACGAGAAAGTTCAAAGATCGAACTTCCTGTTCAATCCTTTGAACGTGCCTTCGTTGGACGATACGGTTACAATGGATGGCATTGATCTCGATCTGACATTACCAGAACCAGAAGAGACCATTCTGTTGGAGGAAGATACTTTACCGAAGACCAGCACGATGATCAACGAGCACCCAAATTACACAGACGACGATGACGATTATTTTATTCGAGAAATATCCAAAGTGGATAGGACACCAAAGATAGTCGGGGCGTTCTTGAAGGAGCCAATCGAAGTGGAGGACACATCCATCGATTGGATACCAATTACTGGGAAGAAACTACCACGGAAGAGATCTCTGAAGAAGTTGTTGAACGCGTTGACCGGAAAGAAGTCCTTGGAAAAGAGAAGCAAACTGTTTTCGTCCGAGAGAAATTTATACGAAGAGCCACGCGAACTTCAAGATTCTGGTTACGACGAGAAGTCTTGCTCTTCGTCTTCTCTGAATTCGTTGATCTCGATCACGGAGGTACTGTTGCAACAGGAGAATAGTTACATGGAAGCTGAGAAGAGAGGAGGCTGTCTGACGACGTTTAAACCGAGAAATTCTACTGACGAGGAGGAAGAGGACGAGGTGTTCTCTGACACGTATCGTTGCATCGAGTAAGTTGAACATTATAACATTTTATGGAATAACTGACTCTTGCAAAAATAGAATTATATTATATTTAGTTGATGTACGCTGTAAAATTAATTTTTCCTAATTTTTTTATTGTAATTAGTATTTAGATAATTAGATAAAGAATATACCGGCCATTAAAGTGTTAATTAGTTTTCATACAATTCTGTTTAACCTGTTTATCGTATTTGTTACAGTAAACGAAACAGAAAAAGATTGATGTTGACCGAGGTCCCACGAAACGAGGTGAAAGTAGATCTTGGCCCTGCCTACCCTCCATTTCCAAAGTTCTTTACTAAGTCCTTGGACCGCAAGATGATCTCCAAGAAGATTCACTCGCCTTCTCCAATTTGCTCAACATTAACCAGATTACCAAAGCATCCTCACCTCTCGACAATGCCCAAACATCCTTTCGTATCTATGACTAAGATAGATGAGCCTCGAGAGACTCCGAACAGCCAAGAATCTCACAGCAACGAGGAGCCATCGGTGATCGTCAAGAATGATCTGTACGAGGTCGAATTTCGCAGAAGTTGCCTGGATGTTTGTTCATTGGCTTCCTGTCGCAGTTCCTCTTCAACCGAGAGCAATTACGATGTACCAAGAAGGTTCTTATCAAAATCTGAGAACGAACTGAGATTGAATTCGGAGGGAAAGCAAAAGGATCAGCCTGTTTACGACGTTCCAAGATCCACTGTCCTCGAAAGACCCAAGTCCACTGGTTACGAAGACATTGTCTCGTTGAAAAGAAGCGCGCTATTACAAGATACGGCCGTCCCGAGTTTCTATGCAGTCCCTCGGGAATTGGAGGTTCGTTATGCCACCGTCAAGTCAAGAAACAGCAGCGTTTATTTGAATAACAACATTCTACGATCCATGAACGATTTGACCATTAATGAGATGCGTTCAGCGATGTAAAAGGTAATTTTTTTATAATATTAACTACGATGATGATGTGCTGATTTCACGAGAGAAGGTATGGTATTCGTCCAAATTTTATATCATTCGACGATTTTTTCGTTGCTCAATTTTTTTTTGTAGATATGGAGTAGTTGATCGGTGGAATTGATAGTACAAAGATCTTTTAGAAATTGATATATACATATGTTTAAGACTGTTAGCTAGTAACTATTTTATCGTTAAGCACTAGGGAACACGATTCGTGTAATGTTTTTATATACACATGAAAATTGTGTACACGTTATTTTACGATTGTGGCGTATATTTTAACAGTTGCACGTTTCGAGAAGAGACAAAAAAGGTGTTGCGTGACGGAGTCTCGTATATTTTGTGAGAAATATTTTACTAGATCTCTGAAACGCTTTTATACGCGTATTTTTATTCGTAATTTTTAATCCAGCCGCGTAATACAATTTTGTAGGGTAATTAATAATGTCGAGTATGAAATTTTCAATTAAAAGCGGTTACAAATGGGTTAAGAAGATTGATGAATTCCAAGGAGAAGGCTGAGTTGCGTGTTCGATAACGTTGTTACAGGGAGTATCATAATTTGTACGTGATATTTTTAGATTTAAACGAATAAGTATCCTGTTCGTTTTTGGTAGAAAACGGTAAACGAGGATACAGGACGTGAAACGGTTTGTAAACACGGTTCGTTAAAGAGGCGAGAGAAAAGAAGAACTTTAGCAGTCTCGAATGTTTCTTTGCAGAAATATTTTCAGGGAACTCGTGTTCAAATTTTAGGGTATTAGGTACTCTGTGATCTCATTACGTATCAGTATTACGTGTATATTAATTATTAAGAGGACGAAATAAAGGAATTGTACAAATTTAATCACTATGCAATGTATGCTGTATGTATACAGACTATTTTTCTCGTCGCTATTTTTCTTCAAATACAATTTTCCAAAGTTCCTCTTTCCAAGGTCTCCTTATTTCAGTGAGAATGTGTGTAATCCAACCTATTGCAATAGTATTCTGACTGATTTGGATGTTTAGTTAATTAGTTAATTGGTGGAGATTTTTTCTTCAAATAAAATTTTCCAAAGTTCCTCTTCCCAAGGTCTCCTAATTTCAGTGAGAATGTGTGTAATCCAACCTGTTCCAATAGTTTTTGGATGTTTAGTTAATTAGTTAATTGGTGGAGATTTTTTCCTCAAATACAATTTTCCAAAGTTCCTCTTTCCAAGGTCTCCTAATTTCAGTGAGAATGTGTGTAATCCAATCTGTTGCAATAGTATTCTGACTGATTTGGATGTTTAATTAATTATAAACGGGATATGTATTAGCTTGTCCCTCTGAGAATATATCTGTTCAGGTATTTGCCTATCACTGTTTCCATATCTCCCAGTAATTCCTGATCACTCGTCTGGTAGCTAAAGGATCCGTCGCTGCTCGTTCATCTTTTCCATAATATTCTTATTCCTTTTTTTCTAAGTTACATTGGTAGAGTGGCGTAAGCAGATAAGAGAACGTAAATTGTCCGTGGATTGGCGGTAGTAATGATCAAAAAAAGGTCTGACGTAAAAGGTCATATGCACCGAGTATGACGTAGTTTCGAAGCGTGGGTGGAAATGGTTAGCCATTAGTTAGCATCTCTGGATTTACCGAGTGTAGTGGAACGCGTATGAGTTGTACGTGGGTGTTCCTGTCAAGGGCGTTAGATTTTTGGGTCACCTGAGAATTTACGATTCCCATCCGGAGGAAATATCGCAAGAAAAATAGCAATCGAAAATTTCCCATTGTTTCCTCTCAACGAACAATCGAAAATTGGATATTCGCTAACGGGCAAAATGAAGCTATAAATTGATTAATCCGCTGTTCGTTCCAACCAGCTAAATTAAAGCTTTAAATTAAGTTACATTAATAAAGGAATTAATTGTATCGTTGCGATATTTTCTTCGGGATTTATCGAATGGTTTTTCTCTCCCTCACCCGTCCTGATTGATAGTATTATCTTAAGGTAATTTACGAGTAGCATGGCACGTTAATTTAGCGTAACGAGTTCGTTAGCTCGAGGCTGGAAGAAAAGAGATGCGAGCAAAGGGACAGCTTGAAATCCCCCGATCTCTTGTAGATCAAGATTTATGGAACGTTATCCTTATGGTAAGAAACGCACACCTTTACAAGATTGCTAAAGCATCATTTAAAAGCTTTCCCTTTGTTTTCGAAGAAACAATCGACCTTTAGTTGGCAAGGATGCAAATATCACTTTAAATCCGGGATTGAGCCGATTTCTCAAGCTTTCGAGTATTCGTGAATAAGAACCTATCTTACTTTACATTCACTGTATCCATAAAACAGTTGTTCCATCATTTTCATCAGTACATATACTTTGAATTGTTCGTATTTCCTCTGGCAATTTAGTTTGAAAGAAAATAAAATGAACGTTCGAGGAAAAGGAAAGATGCTCGAAAGAAACGTAGGTGTGATTAGAAAGTTCGTTAAATGCGAAGAGGTTCGTACTTTTCGCGGTATTCCCAAGGTGAATGTGAGAAGGAAGTAACTTTCTGGAAGGTAGTACTCTAACTGGATTAACCGGAAACGTTTCACGGTTCCTTTCACGCGACTCGTGTCTGACAGAAAAGGCCAAGCATGTTCGCGCTGATGGATTTAACGTGCATTCAATCGCCTCGAATGTAGTAGGGAATTTTCAGATAGAAATTGACGTTTAAAAAGCTCCTGATAAAACATGATTTTCAGGAAAGTGTTTGAGAAATGAACGAGTAGTTGGCATAAATGGTTTAATACAAGCTGATGCGAATGGTACGGTGACTTTAATGGGCCAATAAAGTTTGATCGTGTACAAGCAAGAATTTGGTGCACAACGTTTGGTAACTGCGTAACGGAGAAGAAAAGAAGACCGCCAGAACGACGGAAGAAAAGCAATTTTCCAGGCTGATGGCCTAGAAAATTGCTGCAACCCGTCCATGCTGACCACCTTCGCTGTCAATGATTTTTTAAATATCTTCCTTGTCCCTGCTTCTTGCGTTTGTTTAAATTTAACACGGATAAACGCTATTGAAAATTTTGCACTGAAATCTGATAACCTGTCGGTAACGAGTGCAATTCCTATGCAAATACCGGCGCTTATAAGTTGGCTGATGCGTGAAAAGCCTGGACGTACTACTTACGGATAGAAAAGTAGTTTGAAGGAGATATGGTCAGACAGACGGATACTGTTCGGTGAGATGCATCCATAATGCATTATACAGTTCTCTTTTCTGAATTTATTACTAACAATAAGTTGAAATCTGATCAGGACCGGCCCTGGGATTTCGGGGGTCCGAAAAAGGGCCCCTTTCGCATATATGACATAAAAAAAGAAGCTCAAATAAAATTTATAAAATTAACATTAAAGCTTGTATAACTAATTTAGATTTGCATTCTTCTTGCATTCTTAGACGCAAAATCGTCTTATGAGGGCCCTGGGCGACCGCCTAGTCTGCCTAGGCCCAGGGCCAGCCCTGAATTTAATGTCCAATATTTATTTAACATCTGGTATTTCTTTCTTCTCGCGTTTATTGCTATCTCTACTAATCATTGCAACTATAGAATGATTGTAAATGAATAATGGAAGAACTTTCATTAAATCCCTAATTGTTGCTTCTATTTGGCGTTTCGACGTTTAAGCCGGGAACTGTAGAAGGATTATCAGATACGACGACAGCACCCCAACAATCTGCAAACGGATAAAAACTTTGTAAATTTTATTGCTGTGCGTCTTGTAAAACTTAGAATTCATGTTGTTTCGAAGTCCGTAAGTTGTAAGAGGAAGTTCGTTCCGGTAATAAGACGGTGGTTTCGAATGTGTTAAAGGATAGATGGGAACATCCGGTATAAAAACGTCAAACTCTAAAGTTACAGAACTCCTGCAAACTCGTTTCGACGTCGAAACGAGAGCTTCGACAAATTGTGAAGCGGATTGCAGGATCCTGAAGACTTTTCGAGGATGCAATTTGCGGTAACTAAAGTCACGTTTCAAAATCGTGCTTATTAAGAGGAATCAAATTAATCTTACGCTTTACGTGGAAAATGGTGGGTAATAACGGGGGAATGGAAGCACCGAAGCGAAGCCGGCTCTTCTTTGAGCTATCTCGTGTACAAAGCGAAAAAAGAAGAAAAAGAAACAACGTCTTATTGCGAGCATTTACGATTAGTCTTCTTCTCCTTGAAAATGGTACAAAATTAACTTACCGAGCACAGAAGCGACAAATTCACGTCGAAAAGACCGCCCGCGGAGAAACGAAGACGTCTGTTCAAAAAGTGTAACGAAGAACGAACCGTGTCCTACAAAGAGCGAAACTCGATTGAACAGTTATATTAATTAGAAACAAAGTTTTCTGCACTAGGTGCAGAATTTCCTGATCTCACATCAAAGATAGGTGATATATAGATCAGTTTATCAATACTTTCATTTCCAATTAACGATAGAAATTCTGAAGAATTGAAAAATTGTCTCATGACAAAATACTCACGTCGTATGGAAATCTTCTAATCATTCTCGAATCCCATTCGACTAGGATCGCACCCATACTGTTAGCCTAGAATTCATTAGGTGTAGAAATCTTTATCGATTACTTTCAGAAGAGTCAGGTATTTACCTCTGTTGTCGCGTAATCGCAGCTAATATGCACAGCCAAAAGCTGTATTATGAATGCGATCAACCAAGACCAGACGTTGGATAATAGAAGCCAGGTTGTATCGGTCCAAGGAGTCAGGATCAACCAGTCGATGAAGAAGTAGAGATTACTTACGCTGTGCACGCTTAAGTTAATAAGCCAGAATAATAGTGGCCAAGTGTAGAGAGAATCCAATGCTTCGCCGAATGACATCAATTCACCATGAAGATCTTGGACGGTCTTTCTTAAATAAATACATAAAGATTATTGTTCCGATATTAATTCAGATAAATCAAGGGTTTCACCTTTCTACTAACGGTGCTACTCTTGTATCCAACTCTAGGCGGTAAATTTTCTCTGGCTATCTGATTCAGCTGACAGAATCGTTGCCCAATAAAAGTCACCATTCCGAAGAATTTGTAGACGGACACCGCGGTACCGACGTATATACACATGTAGCTAATGTTGAACAACCAGGTCTCCGTGAACGCGTACATACCACTCTGATTCACGATGGTCCAAACAATGGTTTGACCGATCAAAAAAGCCCAACACACGATCTCGGTTTTCGTCTCGTTGCGCGGGTAACCGAGCTGACTGAGCTTTTCATCGAAATTTTGCAGATTGTTCCAGATTCGAATGAACGCTTTTCTAGTAATTATGGTTGAAATAAGCTCGTACATAGCCACCATGTAATTCACAATTACCTACGATAAAATATAGACGGTTTCCAATTTATCGTTTCAAAGGGCACATTATCTCAGGCAGTGGCGGCTCGTCATTGATCTCAGGATAATTACCTTTGTAGTTTCCACAACACCGAAAACAGGGTTCTCTCTTTTAAGAGTGGTGAATCTCAAATACACGATATACATGATGTAACAGTAAATAGTCATGAAGGCGATGGAAAATACAAGGCAGATGTTCGAGGGTACCATTTGATCGTCTTTGAAATCGTACGGCGCCAAACCAAATACTTTTGTTATGCAAACTGAAGGGTAAATCGCTGTGTACAATGCCGACTCCGGCCCCCGATACTTCTTTCCGGTGTTCTTTTTTTCATCGGTTACTTCCATCGATTCGGTTTCTTCATCGAGTGGTTTCACACGTATAATACTTCTTGGACAAACGTCTCTTCTGGGATGATGAGCAAACTCTTTCTCAAAAATGTTCATGCTTTCGATTAGCTAGACGGTGTTAGACTGGAATTCTAAACGAACAAATATATCGAAACGTTTCTCCAATTTAACAAATAAAAAGAAAGGGTTGTTCTTTGATAATTATCGAAGATCGACTGAAAAGTTTGAAACAGAGGAGGATAAATTGTAAGTGCAAAACGAACTGGCTATTACTCATTGTTTCCCAGCACGAGTGCTATCGATTTGAAATATTAGTTTCACCATAAAAAGAGGAAATTTTTGGCACGGTTTATCACAAAGAATCCATAAAAGCCATTTCAAGTGTGTGAATTCGTTTTCGCGATGATATATCGTTTCATTGCCTATCGTTACTTTGTAAAGGGTATTCGATACACAAAAAGGCTGTTCACGTTTATTCCACTCGAAATTTTCGAAAAATTAACAAAAAGATATATTTGTGGCAGAGGTCTTCTCCTTTTATCACGATTCAATTTATCAGAAAATTGAAGAAGTATACCTGACGTTGCGAAGGATCTGCTTCTTCAAGAGGATGCGGCGGAAGGGTTGAAGACCAACTGCGAGGCGACGATCATTTTCAACGTCGTCGCAATAAGTGGAATCGAATGTCTCCGAGCAACCACATAAATAACAGCGAGGATTCAGTGGTTCGTGGTTTTCTATCGGCCGTGATAAAGCGGAATGAAAGCCACCAGGGTAAACAGACGTACGTGGGCATACATTTGCAGTTGGTCGCGTTAGGACGTGACAGTTTTCTGATTGTCATTAGACTATGAATAATTGAACAGTCGAAGGAATAACAAGGCAAATATGCGCTCGTTATCAATCAAGCAGTAAGAACAAAAGGGTGGATAGACCAGGAAAGTGTCATTTTCACCTTAACCCATGGGCACCTTTAGTTTAGACAATTTTTTTATTTAGCTCCGTATACCCTTAATTCAGGGGTGGGCAATTATTTTGTCTCGGGGGCCAGTTTGTGGAAGCTGAAGTTAACGGAGGGCCGCACTTTTGAAAATTATTTCATTCATTAGTTAACAATGATAATAATCAATAAATATAAATTAAACAAAATAGATCGCACAAAGGAAATCTCGGTTCCAGGTGGATTTTTCTGACTGTCTCGGCGAGCCGCTATTTGCCCACCCCTACCATAATTGTTACTTCAGAGTTTCAAATTGTGCCTCGTTCAGTGTTGATTTGTTTTCTCGATGCAGTCATCGCAAACAATCTCAAGCTGTTAACTGTCATATGTTTGCTCGTTACTTACGGAGTTGATAAAAAAACAACCGTTCGATACGCGAATACTTGATGGTAATGACTCTATTTACCGTTTCGCTATCGTTCACTGTCAACTGTATTTTTTTTCTTCTTAGATGATTCTAAAATAAAAAAATACATCGAAGAGTGATTTTCAGTCGTATGTCTGCATCAGAAATACACTTCATAGGAATATTACTAATGGCGTGGAATTGCGAGCGTCCATTAATCAGATCTTTTCACGAGTGATAAAACTCTTTCCTGGATTATAACGTTCGTGCATATTCCTTACATTTTTCTGTCCTTTTTTTTTTTTCTACCGGATGGTTTACAGGTCGAATAAAAATCTTTATTTCGTAGAGGATTATCTATGTTATAACGATGCCCATTACTTTCTTCCTGTTCTGTACATGAATTTCCAAGTGGCTATTACAGGAGTCCTTTCATAATTAAAAGGTTAAGAGTAGGGTCGATCGATGATTCGTAGAGAAAGGAGAACAGAAAAAGGGTAAGGAGAGAGAAAAGGTGTGATATAAAGCGTGCTGCTGTATACTGGATGAAAATTTACGATGGCAAGTGTCTCGTCAGGACGACGCCCCGGAGAAATGCAATTTAACTTGGCGCGCCGCGTAGGATGAATGATATTCATCGAGCGGTCAACGTACGCCACTTCTACCGAGCATATCCGGGTGAAAATAAAACCCCTTTTTACCCTACTACCATGGAAAATTGCCTCTACGCTAGATGAAGATATTTTTGCATAAATTTCCGCTATAACTTCGTTGCGATCCTCGTTACCAATTGTGTTACGCGAAATACACGTTTCACGAAATGATCAAATTTCCTGCTGGAAAATTGCTGAAAAATTGAAAGAAAGTAAGGGAGAACGATACCAGAACCGTCCGTGAAATGTCGATAAAACGTTTAAGTAACTAAAGTTGAACAGTACGTTTCGACGGTGCTTTAATAATTGATATATTTACTCGAAATGTTTGACCTCTTTGAAAACGGCGTCGAGCCGTCACGTAATCGAGATAACGCGATGTTTGATCGACAATCGAAAATCGTCAGTGAGTCCAGCAATTAATAAAACTTTTAACCGTCTTTCCAGCACAAAAAAACTTTGCGCTCTCATTCAATGTCATACAAAAAAGATCAGAGATCCTTCGGAAATGTTTAAGATGAATGCAATCAAAGAAGAATTGTTAAAATGGACGTGTAAAACGCATGCGACGAATAGTTATCTTGACAAACGTATGCTACGAGAAAAGGCTCTTGAATTCGCGAGAACGCATGGTCTCGATGGTATGTAATCTCTTTGACGAAAGTTTCTTTGAATCCTGGCGCAGAGAGGTCCTTCTCGAGGAATCCTCGAAAATTTGTTAACATCTTTTGCTTTGTTTTCCATTGCACTTTAGACTTCAAATGTTCAGAAAAATGGTTAAACACTTTCTTAAGGGGACACGGTTTCTCCGTCGATCTACAGGATCGCAGAGGTCCTACGTTCGCCAACTATCGCGATTGGATCGATCTGATGAGATCCACCATAATTAAATACAAACATAACGATCTATTTCACGTGGACGAGTTGACGATGTACACGGACGTTCTACCATTGAGGATCGTGTCGGAGGAGACTTTAAGCGAGACACGAAGAAATCGAGTAACGATACTGATGGGGTGCAATTCATCGGGGACCACTAAATTGCCGCTATTGATCTGCGGAACGTATCCTTCGAAGATAAGGGTAAAGGAACACGTTTATTGTAACAACGAAGACTCCTACATCGAGGACGAATTATTCAGGAAGTGGTTGACGAACGTGAACGAGCGAATGTTTAATTGCAATCGAAAGATATTGATGTTTCTGCGAAGAAATCGAGCGCACGCGTTGAAAGATTTCGCACCGAGTAATTTGAAGCTCATTTACCTTCCCGAAGATTTCCCGCCGCTTTTACGACCCCTGCGGAAACACGTTTTTCATTATATTAAGATGATCTTTAGACGAAGATACGTGGAACGACTGAAGCAATGCAACGAAGAATGGAATCTCCGCGACGTCCTGCAATCGTTGATCGAAGCATGGGAGACGATACCCCGTGAGATCATAATCTTCAGCTTCCAAAAGACCCATTTCAGAACCGACGATTGCATTTTGCAAATCGAGTGCGATTCCTGGGACAGTTTGAAAGTAGGAATTTCTTTTAAAAGATTTGTCACGTTCGACGACGAACTTTCAAACGTGCAACCGAACGGTGGGAAACACAGTCGAAATCCCGGCTACAATCTTCGCGCAATCAACAAAAACGTGATCAGAATTAAAGGAAATAAGTTGAATTTAGTAAACGAACGCGAGTTATCCCCTCAGTTCGATCGAGGCTATCAAATGCCTTCGGAGCTTAGAAATCACATAGAGAAGAAATTAAACAGAATCTTGAAAGACAAGCATCGCAGTGCAACTAGTTTCTTAAACAAGAACGCAGAGATCGAAAGGAAATCTCGTAAAAGAGCTCACGGGGAGACGAGATTCTCTGAGAAGGGAGCTTGCGAGGAGAGCCCTTTTGTACCTGGAGATTCTAACGTAACTAGTTCGAGATCGATATACGGGAAGACGTTTGAACAGGATGAGGAGCAGCCTCAAAGACAGCAGACGGAAACGGATGGCATCAGAGAATCGCTGCAGGCGGTTCTAAAGAAAGCTTTGACTCTAACATCGTTGGTGAACGCTGAATACGCTAAGAAGCTAATCGATAGCATTCATGCGTCCATTCATGAAATTAGTTTACAGACCGATAACATGGGACGCTTGAAATCCTTTGAAAACCAGGGAAAAATGGATTACACGAGTGAACAACCGAGAACAACATGTACGAAGATGAAAGAGAATACAGATGAGATTTCCACGAATTTACAGTTCTCGGAGAAAGGGAATCAGCCATCTACCTCCTCGAACGATGTGATTTCTTTGTCAGAGATTGCACAAAGTGCTAGAGAAGAAACAGAGTCTATCCAGCAGCAGTGTTCACTTAACTTGCATATAGAAAACTCAGGTGAGAAAAGTCAGGCGAAATTGAATCCGAATGATGAGGAGTCCATTGTTCGTCAAGAGGTTTTTAATTTAAATAAGAAAAGAGAGAAATCTGTCGAGGACGATTCCTCTGTTGACGAACCGAGCGAGAAAAAGTCGAAAATGGATCACAATTGGTCGAAACAGTTTGAGACTAACTTTGTTTTTGGCTCACAGAATACAAATTGCTCTATGGGAATACGGCACGATGATAACACTGTTGAATCAGGTATTTTCAATGCGAAACCATCCTTTTCTCCAAGAGATTGATTAGATATTTTTTAATTGACGTCAAGTTCGATCACCTGTGTATCAAAATTTTGTTGAGAAAAGTAATGCCAGAACTTGTGATGTTTGATGATGTAAGATGGACGAAAATTCTCATCGAATCCTTTTACTTTCATGGATGTGATACGTATATCTCTCCTCAACATCACAATCCTTTCCTTTGTTGGAGGTATTGCATTTGCAAGCTTGTAATGTGCGCGACACCTGCTGTTGCTATTGAGTAGTATGGTAATCTACCATATGCAAATGATGTTAAATGATTTATGAGGTATCGCTGTAGCACCATAATAATTTATAATACTCGTACTTCTGCTGTTGATCGAATGTGGTAGTTAATTTCCTAAATCCTTAATTATAATCACAGGTCATTAAAGAATACGAACTACTGTAATAAAGTATGTATTATTGCTTGTAGCAGGATACAATGGTATATTAAATTCTAAGTATAGAAAAATAAAAGCACATAATATAAAACGTCGCGTGCATATTTCATTTCTATGATTTTACATCATGATACGTATTCTTGTATGCGTGAACACGACCGCGTAAAGTGCACTTTCTGATTCAGTAGATAGATCATACTTTTGCTTCTGAGCATTAACGTTCACGAAAAATTTACATTTCCTCAAAGAAAATACATTTTTCCTTTAAGATAGAAACATAGTTTGATATCTCTGAGCAGTACAAATGTATTTGATATGGAAACAAGATAGTTTAAGATTTTCATTACTTTAAGTAGTTGATTTTTAAACTGAATATAGTAAATTCTAAAAATAATTCGAAATATAATGTAGAAATTGTGAACTATATTACACACAGTTAAATATTTTCAATTTTGTGCTGTATATAACTTTTCTATGGGTAAACTTTTAACTTTTTCTATAGTATCTAGTACCTGTTGCAGTACTTGAGAATGTATTGTTGATTTTTCTTGATTAGCATCTATAACACTCCATGATTGCTCTATCAGTTTTTCATAGTTTATAGCAACACTCTGTTGAAGCTTGCTATATTCATAACGTTCATTACCCCAGTTACTACGTGTAGATTGAGATTCCTCTGAAATCTTAAGTAGTATAACAAGATCTGGAGAAGGTAATCCTTTATCAGGTGTTTTACAAAAATTTAAACATCTGCCACTTATGGCTGATGTATAAGCAGCACCTGAAGCTGCATATCTGTAAAAAACATGTACAATTAACTTTGACATTTATAAGAAGTATTTTCCCACTCACCTATCAATGACAACAGTAGTACCATTGTATAAGCTATTTAAAATATCTTCTTTACATTCCCATCTGTTTGCAGAAAATAACAAATGTGCTGTTTCAGGAGAAAATTCTTGTTTCTTAGATAAGAAATTATTTATCAATGTTCCAATAGGAGTGGTTCTATCTGCAAAAAAATGCAAGTTTAAGTCAATAAAATTAAATTTTTTCGCTATTTTATTTTGTGAGATTACATTCAATTTAGAAGAAGAATATTCAAATATGTATTTAAAAAAGAAAATTACTCTAAATTCAAAAATTACCTGGAAAAGCTCGCGCTTCTGTAGGAATGCTTCGCTTCTTCAAAGCTTCTATTAACATTTTTACTTGAGTAGATTTTCCTGCTCTGTCGCATCCTTCGAAAACTATTAAAGCACCACGTCCTACCGGCATTTTATCTATTTCATAAAACTACTTATTCGTTGATTAATGTATATGTACATACAAAACTAACGGCCGTTAAGATATGTTAAATACCACCTAGTCAAACCAGAGACGTGTGGAGACACGCAAGTATTTAAAACCACGTCTGTTGATCGAAATGTTTAGTAAATACAGTGATTACAGATATAAAAAAGACTGGGCATGCCTTTAACAACGACTACGTAAATAGTCACTGTCTTTAGTCTCGAGGGATCATGATGTTGGGAGGTTCAGATACCCGCAGGCGAGGTTAAGCTTACATGACGGTCGTGTTGGTTTTACTAATCTCTCTTTTAACACATCTTGCATTCACAACTGAAAAAATAATTTTGACTCTCTTTGATTCTATTTTTTAGAAATCAGCACAAGACCGAAAAATTATTAGAATAATTGTTTGATAAACATGTATCTTAAAAAGACCGCCATAGATGAAATATTTAGTAGGCTGTGCTAAAACACTTTAGTCACTGGTTTGTACATAAGTTACCTTTATGTATGTTGCATTAGCACAATGGACAGTTTGAATTTATCGGACGCTTCAAAGCTAGAAAAAGACTCAAATTACACGAAAATTGTTCATAAACGTCGGTCTTCTATTTTCCACACCCATGTAATTCCATCTGATGAATGTAAAGGTTAGTCGCTTAATCCAAGGGTACGTAGCAATAAATATATATTTTTAGGGAATATGTTGTTGCAATTCAGCATTTCTCTTATCTCGAAGGTACTTCATTTACGGAAAATGAAAAGTCTGCCGGTATCCAAGATGCAGCGGAATGTGCACATACAACAGCAGAAGAACCCTTTAATTTAGAAAAGTATATAATTAATCTGAAAAATGAGAGAAAAGAATGGATAGAAACTTTGAAGCAAAGAAAGGCTCAACGGAAAATTCTGACAAAGCAAAAGTTATGCATAGAAAATCAAGGACAAGTTGTAGATTTGAATGTTTTAACAGAGTCTGAAAAAGCTTTTGTTATGGCTCGACCGAACTTTCAAGAAATTTGTAAAAATCACAAAAAAATATCAGATGTAACTTTAAAAGTATCAGAATTACGTAGTATCGTCCATAAATTAAACGAAAAATTTATTTTCCAAATGGAAGAAAGATTGCAGAAGCTTACAGACAAAATTATTGAAATATCAGAATGATAAGTCTGAATATCGTACTGTATGAAAATACTTTTTAAGGTAAAGTTAATTATTTCTATTCTTTAAGTTTATTATTGCTGATTATAATTGATATTAAAACAGATTTTTGATTTTGTATAAAATCAATTTATACCTTATATGTTCGTATATATACATTATAAAAAAAAAAATAAATTAGAAAACAAGTATTAACATTACAGTTCTTAAGTACTTAAATTGCAAGTTCTTTGGTATAATGAACTTACAATACGACCAGTTAAAAGGACAATAAGGTTGTGTTTGTATTGGAGCAAATATTTGCTTTAATTCTTATTGTGTTAATGTAATTAATACTTCAAATAATTTAAAATGGAGTAAAGAAACCAATAGAGTTGTCATCTGTGCAAGTGAAAACTTTTTCGTCTTGCCGCTTTCCGTTCTTTTTGAGATAAATATTCTTTTCTTGATGTACTAGTATGTAATTCCAATATATGATTTATTTTTCTGACAATTTCCTCAGCTGTTATAGAATCTGCCTCAAATTCGTGATTTTTAAATGATGCTGACTGATGTAAAGAGTGCATTTGTCCAGATGATACTATAAGAATAAAATATAATTGTTAAGATTATTAAACAACATATCTAGATATACTAATAAAATTATGAAAAGATTAAGTACTAACACAAAATGTTATCGGAAATGGAAGAATGTGGGGTATAAACTAATGTAAAAATTGTTTTTGATCCCTTTGTTTCCGTTATTTCACACCAGGCAATATTATCTATCTGATAACTAACTGCCCGTTGTCTATTCCAAAAACGTCCTGCACCTTTTCCTGTTATTATTGGATTGATCTCGATTTTTTCACCCGATATTCCGAGATAAATTTCAGTCTTCGTTCTGACTTTGTTAATTATGTATACCCTATATAAAATATTTAATACTTTTTAATGATAAATTATTACATACAAATCAATCAATACGAGATACCTGTAAGATTGGTATAATGGAGCTTCCATAGCAGTTGTATGACCTTCCATTTTCGCTAAATCCTCTGCAACTTCTTCTTGTTCTTTATTATGAAGTTCCGAAAATTCATCTTCATCCTTTGTTTCTACAGAACTAATCATATTGTGTCGTGCTCTATCGCTGGGTTTCATTTCAGTGAGACCTAGCGTTGTAAATTCAAATTTCGATATTGTTTCTTTTGGATCTAAACAAGGTAAATCCCAATCAACTTCTCCATCATCTTCAGTGAAATATAATCCATATCTTGTGATATCTTCTCTGAAAATATTAAAGTACCAATATCTTTCTTGCTAACAGGTTGGGCCAATAACAGTTATAATTTATAAGTAATTCACACTTTAGAAGATGATCTGGATGTTCATTTGCATATTTGTAGCAAATCAATCCAATGAATTCTAGTACTTTTGCAGTAGTTATTACAATTATATGAAGAGGATACATTCTTTGTTCTTTAGGTAACATACACATAAATATCCTATATTTTCTTATAGGAATATCTACTTGTGCCTGTAATAGAATTTATACAAGCAATATTATTAATCAGCAGTTTCATCATGGTTTAAAAAGCATACTGATACATACACTGCCATCAAATTTAGCATATTCTATGAAAGGATTTATTGGTACATGTGGACATTTTTCAAGCTGTTCAGATAAAAGAGAATATCTTTTATTGGTTTGATCAGTCTTTTTACGAAAATCTTTTCTTTGAAACAATTCTGACTGTTGAGTAATAGGTATGATAGGATTATTTTTCCATTTCACATTGACTTTAGCTGCCTTTTTTCTTTCAAGATCCATTTTCTCTAATCTTTGGGCAGTGTTAGAACGTTCTCTATGACTATATTCCATATCTGTAATAAGGGTAAAATCATAGATCTAAAATGTCTATATTCATATCAAATAATTCTTTAATTGTATCTGTATTTATAAATGCAAATTGAAGCAAGACTATGTCCTACTAGAAAAAAGTTAAACAAATGTACCCATTTGTATATCATAAGATTCTGCAAGTGCATCTAAATCTTCGTCATCACTTTCTTCCATTCCAGGATAACATTGCAATGTACCGTTTGATTTTAATTGTTTTGGGATATCTTCTCCAAGCATTACCATTTCGCACTGACCTTTATAAAAACATAAAGTGGTACATTATAGTTCTTTAAATATCCTTAAACGTTTAACCAAAGCAGTATTGTCCTGTACCTGTATTATCAGTGGATAGAAAACTATCTCTAATATGTGATAACAACCAGTGATCATTGTCATAAAGTGCCATTTGTTAGATTCAAGTATTTTCAAATTCTAACAAATTATTATTAAAACTTCTGTTTACTACTGTCTAGTCTGTTTTCCTAAATTAAAATTACTTGACGCAATAGCTATAGATCCAATAATGTTGAACATGGCTTTGTTTTCCGAGGGGTCTTGGTCTTGAACTCATGGAAACAGAGGAATACTAGTGCCAGCTATCGGAAAGCAGCAGACAGTATGTTTTCGTGAAGCTTCCGCTTCTTTTCGATAAACGGCGCTAGTATTCCTTCGTACGCTAGTATGTTCGCCCGCGCAATTATTCGCAGCTCGTATATGTGAAACAGTCTCAACGCTTGCATCGCATTAAATAGTATTAAAACATTATATTAAATTGTGTATTAGGTATCAACAATACAAAAAACAGAAGACAAAGTTGAAGAGAAGACCGGAGTCATGACTTCTGACATCATTTCCACATTGTCTTCAGAAATGCGTAAGCTGAAAATTTATACCGTATTTTGTCGATATAGATACGAATTAAAATAACATATTTCTCATTTATTTTGCTTTTATGGTGATAATTTATTAAATACCATTAATATCTTATGTGTTTTTCTATCTTTTTTATTATTTCGGTGCTTTAAAGTGAAAAAAGTACTCTTGACGTTATTTCAATATGGCGTTAATAATTTTCAACGAATCTTTCCATGCTTTTAATGTTAAAGTTTCAAAGCAATTCGAAGTTTCTACCAATGCCTGTGATTGGTCATCCATTATGGCGTCCTTCTATTTGGACCAATCAGATTCATCGTTAAAGGGTGCGTTGCGCGGAGTGTGGTGGAGTGCAACAGTTCTCTTCGAAGCTTCGTTCGTTTGGCATGTGTCTGCAACAGGTAAGATTAAATTATCTTCAAATATTAAATTAAATTGCCGATCGGGTGTTAAAAGTACAAAAAACAGAAAAAATCATCGACGAGAAGTTTAGATTCTTGATTTTTGACATTAATTCGGCATTTTCTTCAAAAATACAAGAGTTGAAAATTTGTGCTCTTGCTGCGATTGTACAATGAGGTTGGAACAGCAGAATTTGAATTACTTTCCCTTTTATATCGTTAATTTCCTAACCAATATCGAACGTTTTTAATATTCTTTCACACAATTTACTGTTTGATATTTAATAACGTTCTCTCTTGAGCATCGTAATATTATGAGATCTGTTCGTCTACCGGTTTCGGTTCGGCTGGGGACGAACATTACCGAATAATACCGAACGGTGCTGATCGGTCTTCGGCAGGAAGGAAGGTCTCGCCATTTCTCTCGCGAACGTCGAAGTGAAAAGACGTGTTGAGAGCATCCTTCCGCATAAGTAGTAGGTGCCCATTCTACCTATTAAAATAATTTGCATAAATTATAGTTCGATCGTTTATTAGTAATAATTTTATTATTGTTGATTAAATTTTATTTACATAAATTGGTATTTCTTATTTGTTACAGATATTTGATGAATATTAAAAGGACGCCATGGCACCTAATATGGGTTTGAAATAGAATTTCGTAAGAATTTATTGTTTTAATTTATTCTAATCAATTATTAACATTTATTATTACTTATTTTTTATTGAGTCGTTGTTAATTGTACGTATTTTTGATAATTACTTGCTACCAAAGACAAGAAAGAAAAGATTAGAGACATTTTTTTTCTTTAACCAATTCATAGAAAATGAATAATTAATTTTTCATTTTACTGAATAATTTCGTCCAGTATTTTAATACATTTGTTTTAAACTAGAACTAAATTGAAATAATTCGTATTCTACTGCAAATGATTAATTCTCTCCTGCAATTATTAATTATTTTAAACAATCTGTTTTTGTTAAATGGTAGTAATTATATTATAATATCCAATTTTCGATGCAAGTTTAAATTAAAATACAATAGAATCACGTTTTTAAATCATATGCTGTTTAAGCTAGGTTAATTATTAGACTTTGCTTATTGAAAAGAATTAGATAATTTATAAATCATGCCGTAATAGAATTTCCAACAATTTGTAGTATGCTTATAATCTTAACAACAAAAATCCTCTGCTTTAATACAATAGTCTATTATCTTTATTACAAAATGATTTTCTATCGATGTAATATTCATTGAAATAATTATCAACAATTATTTAAAACATTTCATTTCAATCTAGGATCAATATTCAGCTTTAACAATATTTGTGCTCGTCGAATATATTTCACGAACATAGATATTTTCATTTACAGGCCATTAATAACAGTATTTCCGTTACGAAAGCTCAAAAAGAAGAATGTTGTTTTGTATATTTCCACCCAGCCCATCCCTGTTCACTAAGTTTTTCTTTCAGGAATTGTTGTGGCCGCGCGCAATGCGGTCGGTAGAGTCAGTGTTTGTACGAAGATATTTCCAATGTTTTGATTTTTTCAAGGGTGAACTGGCCCTGAATAGAGTTGCGTTTGTATAGTTAGGAATCACGCGAAAGTAGAGTCAGTGTTTGCTGCGTATAATAAAATATTTTCTAGAGCATCGCGGCTCTGATTTTTCTTTTTCCATCGTGAAAGTAGAGTCTTTATAATTGTTCGCCGGAAATTATTCACGGTCGCGTTACTATTTTTATTTTTAATTTTTTTTTTATTGTTCGATATATCCGGGATTAGAGTCAAAGCACCACTGAAGAGGAGTTTTGGGCGTTGCTCCATAAGGAAAGAGTGTAAGTATCTTATTACTTTATTTTATTAATTTTAATTGAAATAGAATAATTTACAATTTCAATACTTGATAATTGAGAGTTCTTCTTAATTGCTATTGCAAATATTTTATAAAATTCAATGTTATATATAATTTTATTAGAATAAAAATTGATAATTTGCAAAATTAACCGTGATTCTTTTTTGTTTTGTTACAGATGAATTTTTTGATTGCCGAGTTCCTGGATATCCTGATGATGGCTTTCTTCACGACTTCCGTCTTGGTACGTCACTTAATTGCTTTTTATTAAAATAGAATAATTTACAATTTCAACACTTGATAATTGAGATTTCTTTTTAATTGCTAATATTTTATAAAATTCAATTTCATATATAATTTTATTAGAATAAAAATTGATCATTTTCAAAATTAACCGTAATTCTTCTTTTTTTGTTACAGATGAATTTCTTCACGACTTCAGTATTCTCCTACAAGGCAGCCTCCTACCTGGTGTTGTCCATCCTCCTACTTGACTGTCGGAAGAAGAGCATATCTGCGAACGGTGAGTCGCATGTTTTATGGTTCCTCTGGTGCCCAATCATGTCGTAGGACGAATGGTCCGAATCGACACGGGCTACTAGTTGTATACGTGCTTGGCAAGCATAGTGACCATGGGTATGATTATACATACCCATGAGTAGTAACATTTTTATTGTATCATTTCATTTAGTTAGGATAGGTCTTCTTGTACTCCGCGTTTTAATATCATTTCAATTCCACATATTCTAATAGATATTTTTGAAATATATGAATGCTCTTAAATATTCTTAACTGTGGAATTAGAATATTTTAATACCGAAACAATTTTATTTAGTTTGTCTGTAATAGAGAAGTCAAATACTATCTGACTTAATTATTGCAATGGTTCAAAGCAATACAATATTGATAGTATTATGTAATCTGTAATGATGCTATTACATTGATTTAATTACATTTTGTACACTATAAATTCAAATATGATTTGAGAACTTTTTAAAATTTCATTCACTCAATAACGAAGTTTAACTTATTTACACGTTCATGAAAAAATGAACAATTTATGTGCAAGAAGACAATTCGTGACGGGTAGATTTCCAACTCAGAGTGATCTATTTCAACACATTTTGCGTATTCTTGAAAATTTACTCTGAGGAGGGAGTCACCCGAGGATGTTTTATTAATCTTCACAACAAATTCTTGTTTCATTGCAAAGAAAATTCTTAATTAAAGACATTAAATTCTTTTTTATTAAAATTTTGCATTTCTTAAATTAGTGTTGCGAAAAATTTCCAGCGCGAGAGTAAATATGACGATGCACTGACTAGTATTCGGTGGGAATCCTTTTGGTTTTTAAACTCAATCCTTTTTATTATTTAATTAATCAAATTAGTTACAAGGATTCCGCGGCATAAGACCGTGAACACCATCTCTGGGAGATATACCCATGCATTACTAGGCCTTTGCAGGCGCAGCTTTAGAATACGGGACATATGAAAATATGTTACCATATTCTAAACTGTAGTCCTTTTGTCTATACTATGGGCGTCCGTCAATCTGACACCGTTGGATGCAACGTGTTGGACGGGCGGGTAGCGCTCTTAGCGAAGGGGTGCACTCTGTCCTGGCGTTACGACGTCCAGGCGGGGTGGGTGGTATGTAGCGTCTGGCGTAAGTCTAGGGGGCGTGAGACCCTTCGTTGCCAGCTGATATTAGCAGTGCTTCATGTTTGCGTCATAGTTGCTCTATTTTGCTTTTCAGTATTTGTTCTTAAAGCTTTATATTTACAAAGTCGAGTCATTTTTATTAAAATAGTGAAATATTAGCCCGTTAGATGTTTATGTACTAATCATGTTTGTAGATCAGGATTTTCAGATTTAACCCCTTCCGTGTTTATTGCCAAAGCCCATTCACGTGCCCAGGTGCTACTTGGATGGGTAGAGGCAATGGGCACGATGACCTAGTTCATAAGAATAATAATTAATAAGCGGCTGGCATTGTGTTAGTATATCGTGCACGACGTAGTCTCCACATATGGTGTGTGTGTTTTTAGGCTGTGGGATTGCGTCGGTTTAATAACTTTTTCATTTACTTTTAATTTGAAATAATATTTTATTCAACAAGATGTACGATGAACGTATAAACCAAATACTATTGTTATCATTACTATTACCATGATTATTACCATTACTATTACCATGATTATTACCATTACTATGAAATATTCTATATCAACGTAGTTAATTAAATTTTGTAATTATCATTATACGCAATGATTGCTAGCCTTGCCAGACGATTTCAGTGAAAAATGGTACGTACCGTAGAGTGTGATGTGAGATGAAACTCGGGTGACGGAGGCGTCCCGGGACGTTCTCCCTAGTTTAGGCTCTGCGCCCGGGTGGAGTGTATGGGGGTCGTAGAATGAATTTTTGTGAGAATGTGATTTTGCCTTTTTTAAATATAGGGTTA